GATGAGATATTTAGACATGATCATCCATAAGTCAACAACTAATTAATCCTTAATTAAATGCATGCTTAAGATTAGTACTTTGTTGGGAACCCACATGTGATGGGAGAATATTAGGGGTAGCATTTATATAATCATTGTTTAATGTCTATTTTTCTCAAGAAATTTTATTTTAATATAATAAAGAGTAAATATTATCTCGTGAAGGAATAAGTTTCATATGTTTGTTTGATTACAGCTAAGCTAACTTTGAACTTGTTATGCCATGCCACAATCAATTGTGAATCTTATAAATTAAATTAATTAATGAACAAAAATGATAGTGTGCATAAAAATCCTTTATATATTGATGTCAACCAATTAGAAATTCATCATTATATATGTTAAGTCAACGGGTTATGCTACATAGCCAACCTCTATTACAACTTGGTTTACAACCAAGTGTAATGGAGGCATTTAAAAAGTATTTTTTTATATTTTTTTAATGCCTCCATTACACTTGGTTGTAAACCAAGTTGTAATGGAGGTTGGCTAAGTAGCATAATTCTAAGTCAACAAATTAAATACACCCTATTGTATTTTTTGTATATACAGTACAATACTCGTGTACTATACGAGTACGTGTTAATAAAATTATATTTAAAATTAAATAATAATAACAAAAAAATAAATTAGTTTTTAAATACTTTTTGAAAAAATATATTATTATTTATATTTAAAATGACACTGTCACTTATAAGACATACCGTCTTATATTATAATTTATTTTTTGAATTAATGTCATCTAACTACTTTGTAGTTAAGCTAGTTTAAATAATTTTATCCTTTTTAATTACTATTAATAGGTACTTTAATTTTGATTATAAAGATATATAAGATTATTTATTTATTTTGTATGTATAATATAGATGTCAATTAAATTGAAACCCATCAAGACATGATTAATTTGATACATTGTATATGAAAAATTGTATATAATATAAGGTTTATTAACTTTTAAATATTATAGTTTAAGTTAGTAAAGTTGTTATGATTTATGAAGAAAGATTGAAAAAAAATTATACCTTATAAATCACGTCTACAATAGGAAATAGTATTAAAAAATAAGTAATGCACTTAAAATGAACCATAAATATCCATTATATTTATTGATATTCCAAACCTAGTTACCTTTGCACGGGAAATAAATTAAAATTCACCAAACAGAATAACAAAGCTTAAAATTTTGCCACATAGGATCTCGAAGCGTGCGAGTCTGCCACTTGATGATTCGATGGCGACGCTGACCTCCGAGGACGTCGAGCGGAGAAACAGAATCTCAAAGATTAGGGGATAAAATAATGGTAAAAGTCCGACCTGAAGATTCTGCGATATCGGTTCCCGCATGGGTCCTGGATCAGGAATAATAAAATATGGCCACTTGTGTGGTAATGATTGCTGATGTGACGCGCCACCCTAGTCTACAACCCTAGGGCATCTAATTCGACAAAAAAGGCATGTTAGCATTAAATGCTCCACATGTGAGCATTTAATGCCTGAGAAATATTGGGACGACCTAAAATCGCATTGAATATCTGTCAGACAGTGTTGACCTGTCGTCTCTGAATTACTACTGTGCGAGATGACATGGTGAACAGAGTCCGAACATTACCAAATTAGAGTTACTATAAATAGGCAACATATTTCATTTATTAAGGTTGTTGAATTTTTCACAATTAATTCTCTCTGTGCATTTACACTTTTCAAGTCTGTAATAATC